TAATGCAAGGCGCGCAGGCCGGGAAGTAGTTGCTACTCCAGGCGAACAGTGAACCGGTCCTCTTCCGGTTGGTTCTGGGTTGGATCAGGGTGAGCGGCTGCGTCGGCTTCAGGAACAACTTCCTCTTCAGCAGCCTCCGCCTGCCGTCGCGCAATCTCCTCCCTAACCCAAGCGTCATAGGGTCCGGGCCCCGGCTCATTCGCCTCCTCGGCCAGAATGGCAAGATCAGAATATTTGAAGGCGAGTTCCCAGACGGTGAAGTCCGCCTCCGGGTGGATGAGGGAAAACGCCCGTTGCATCCGGTTTGCACAGTCATGCTCATTCTCTTCAATGAGCCTCTCCTGCTCCGACTCCAAGGTGGCCTTGAAGTTCTCATTGGCAGCAGCCGCCTCTTTGCGCAGGCGCTCATTCTCTTTGGCAAGGCGGCCATTTTCAGTCTCCGCCTTGCTCAGCCGTTGGAGGGGCTCTTTCTGTTCCACCAACTTTTTATTGGCATCATCCAGGGACGCCTGCAGTTGGTCAACTTGGTTTTTCAGCTGATCAATCTGCTGTTGGAGGGCCTTGGTCTTCTCCGCCTGTTCTATGCGTATAGATTTAGATTCTAAGCCATGCATGTACAAAGAGTAGTCAGCAACATTATGGGCGTCATCAACAGCCCGTTTGCTTCTCCTTACCTCTTTAGACTTGCGGGTATAAGCTCGTTTGAGCCCCTCTACGCGCAGCATAGCCTGCAAAAATACAGCCGGTTAATACTGCATATTTAAAAATGCACGTCAAGAAAATTACCGCATGGTTGTTGGAGCATACGTCGGCCAGGTCGACCAGCACCCGGTCGGCATTAAAGGAGTTGATCCCAGGGATCGCCTCCTTCTCGTCCCTGGGGACGGCTTTCAGCATGGCCCGGGCATATTGTGCCCCGTCCGGCCAGCGGGGAGAATTATCTGCACCAGAAACAGACGATGAGAAACTCGCATATGCTCTGCCTATAGATTGCCGGCTGATTGGAGAATCCCCCGGCTGCGATCGAGACTGTGAATAAGACTTGACCCGCATGGGCAGGTCAAGCAGTGTAAGGTCGAAGTTACCTTGGCGGCCCGAACGGCCTTCAGAGGGACCGGTTGCGGTCCTCAATGGGATGGCAGAAAGCACATCCGCAGATCCAGGCCCGCCTGGGACCTTTATTGATTTGCCGCCGGTAGTTTGCCGGTCGGCTGTCTTCTGCACCTTGGATGCAGACTCTTGTTGGGTCGGCGGAGGCCTGACCTGTTTTTGAAGGGACCGGGGCATCTGCTTATCGTCCTGTAAACGAGAAAAATATAAGTTATGGGATAAAAGGATTGAAATAAACGAGAAGGATCAGACGGTTATACCTTCCTCGCCGCCTGGGCAGCAAGTTTTTTCTCGAGATTGGCTTTCCGGATGTCGGCAGCCGACCTAGCCGGTGTCTTCTCGGTGGGCAGCATTTTCTTGGCTTCTTCTGCAGAGGAAGGCACACGGTTAGAATAATAAATAAGCAAGGAAATAAAAGCATCCGGTTCGAAAGAAACCGGCTGAGTTCCGAATACATACGTTTTTTAAACATGCTGCTTAGACCACAAGCGGACAAGAAGCATTCGTCCCTAAAAAATTCATGTTTGGGCACCCAGTTTCTAGGTACCCTTACTATCTCTCCGGATGAGAGGGTGTCAGGAACTAACTCAAAAAACCCGGAGTCAAGGATGGTCTCTCTATCATCCTCCGGGACAGGGGCAGGCAGCACTTAGTCCCCAAGAGTTCTGGTTTCCGGTTGTAGATCCGGAATTCTCTGTTCTCTGCCGTAGTTGGGGCCTTAACCAAGTAGAACCGGTGCTTCCAGTCCGACCATTTGGATGGCTTGTCCAAGGTCATAAGGTATTTGGGCTGGGTGGTCAAGGTATACCAGGCTCTCCAGCCGCCTGGGCTCCTACTCAAGTAATGCATGTGGGCAAACGCCTCCCAGCCGGGGTTGAGGCCCTGCATCTCGCAGGCGGCGATATACCCTAAAATATTTACCCATAAGTTGGGGGTTAATTGCCAGAGACCTAGGCCATACCCCCTAAGTATGGCTTTTATTGTGTCGTGGAGAGGGAAGCGGACTCCGGCCACGAAGGCCGCCTCGTAGCACCCGAACCAAGCGTTCGCGTTCGGTTGTCCATCCTCCCACCATATTGTTCCCAGAGCAGCCGGGATTTTTATTGTATAGTCACCCCCCAGCGGCCGCCGTTTGATAAAATCTGGCAGCGCAGCCCGCATGAGCTCGCGGTCCTTAGAGGAGACGGCGATCATGAGAGGATCGTTCCTATTATCCCAAGAAGGCCTCTCCGCCTCCTCGCTATCCTCAGATTCGGTTAAGTAGCTGCTACTGCTACTTTGAACGTGACCGGCATCAGAGCCGGCTGGGGAGTTGGAGACCTCCTTATCAGAGCCTACCTGCTCTCTGGTCTCCTGGAGGGGAGCAGACTCTTCGTTTAAAATGCTATCACCCGGGGTGCTAGGAGCGCCCCCGGGTGAGCCTCTCTGCTCTACCTCTCCTTGCTCTACTTCACCGCCTGAAGCTGGGACCTCAGGCGGCTGCTCATCTGAGCTCCCACTTCTGTAGTTGGGATCTCTGGCAGTAGACCGGATTCTGGCCATTGTGTCCTGCACAGACACAGAGTCGGTCGATATGGGTGTTGAAAAAGGGTTGTCCCAAAGAACAGAGGCGGCAGACCCAGTTCTAGACTCAGCCGTACTAATAAACCGGCTGAGTTCACAGCTAGGTTCCGGGTATGGGTATAAGGGGTCCATCTACTTATGGGACCAATGAACAAAAATGCGAGTAAAAGACTCAAACGGAAATACATGAAAAAGCTAGAAAGAATAGAGACGGTACCTAGAAGAAAATCTGGAAATTCTTTGGGATGCTTGCGAAGATGCAGGCGGTTCAAAATCCGGCTGGGTTTCTCTGATTACCCTCTCGAAAACCTTTGGCTAGCTTGCAACGACCCAGACGGTCTGTAGACCGGTTGCTCTCAACGAATCTCAACTCCGAATGCTCTCAACTCTCAAATTGCCGGCTGCTCTCAAATTTTCAGAAATTTGGCAAAGTTTGTAAATGAGAGCTCGGGGGACATCTTCTCCTATTTATAGAATTTGTCCCAGAAGGTGAAAAGTCGTGACTCTTCGCCTTCTGCTTTTCCATCCTTCAAAAAGAATCTGAAGAGTTGTAAAAAAAAAAAAAAAAAAAAACCTTTCACCGGCGCCACGTGGCACCCTGCCATGTCAGCACCAGTGAGGGGCAAATGTTTGGGGTAAAAATACCCTAAACACGTGGCCCAATGGCCTAGTGACACGTGGCATCCAGCCGTTGGTCAGCAGGGCTCCAATCCTCTGCTGACACGTGTCCTCTAAACCCTAAAAGGGAAACCATCTCTTCCCCACTATAAATAGTGGAAGGACCCTCATTAATGGGGGGCTGGAACATTTGTTGTTCACATTGAATACTCCTCAAAAAGAAAAACACTTACCCCGAGCAATATTAATTGCAGAATTCTCCCATTACGCGAGAAGTAACTTCTACATTACGTGCATTCTACCTCCCGTATCTTTACTAACTTGATCGTCGGAGGCGGAGCTCCTACCCCCAGGAGTCTTCGTGATTTTGCAGGCACAGGCGTCGAAGGGCATTCTTGGAATTGTAACTCTCCCACAGGACACATCAAAAAACCCCGAAACACTACTCTTTCTTATTATGTCATATTGTGATGATTTATGAGGCTACCCTTGATAAACGTAGTGTGTTTATCTTATGGCATTATTATAAATATTTTGCATTGAAGACTGTGTTATGTAATAAAAAAATAATTTTATTTTTTTCATGCCAGCTGTCCCAAACGGCTTGATTTTAACGCCGTTTACCATGAATTATTTCCTTCTCTCTCCTCTCCTCCCCTCCCATGGCCACAACTACCTATATATCGCCGCTTTGCGGCAATAAACCGGCCGGCCGGCCGGCCAAACCATAGACACCCTAGTAGCAAAGTATGTAAAGTAGGGCCATATTAAACCTTTAGGGGAAGGTATGACAAAGATGGCAGTGGTTAATCGCCGCTATTGTGGTCGCGATGTTGAAGACGAAGGGCGGTATGTAGACTGTGGTGGGGTCGATTTGGTAGGAGCGGCAAGGTTGAATTTGCCGTGTTAGGGTCGATCTGGTAGGAGTGTGTGGTTGTGTGATGGGGTCGATCTGGTTGGAGCGGTGGGTTGTGCGGTGGTTGTGCGATCTAAAGGAAGAAGAAGATTGGGTTTGTAGAGGAGAGAGAAGGAACTATTTTAGGGGTATTCAATGAACGGTGAAGAAGCAAGAGCCATTGAATATGGTGAACGGTGAAGAAGCCAAAATTCAAGATTCAAAGCAGGCAAAAAAAGAAAAGAAAAGGCAAAATAAGTGGTTGTGGCCATGGTGAACAGTGAAGAAGATTGGGTTTGTAGAGGAGAGAGAAGGAAGTGTTTTTGGGTTTATAGTCTTAACGGCACAAATAACACTGTCAAAAGCAAAATATGTAAAAGGCCAAAATTCTCCTTACTAAACCACATGAAAAGACAGCGCTACCCCTAGATAAACTATTTTCGTTTATCTAGGTTATAAACTTGTATTTTCTCATGATTTATGCACTCTTTCACCAAAAAAAAAAAAATGTTGTGATTTATGCAAAAGAAAAAACATAGTTATGTGGAATCTTGTTAGATTTGTCTCAGTTTGTGCTGTTAAAGTCTTATTTTTATAACTTTAATCAAAACTAAGTTGTGTATTGGCAAGTGTGAAACAAGTAAATTAGTGGAAGAAGCATTAAATAATGCTTTATAGGCACTTGTTAAAATGTTTTCAAATTGCATTTGCAAAGTTTCATGTTTATAAAGTTTAAAGCTAATTACTTTTTAACGTTCTTAGATGACATGTTTAAATTCTACAATGCTAATTAAGTCATGTATGATTGCTGAAGCCCCATGCCACTAATGACAATTAAAGACGATACACTCTCTGAAGACAATGTAGTATTAAGGTCTTCGAAAAATCGAACAAAATTTGGAAGGTCAGCTGATGTTTACATTTTATCACTTTTCTAGTGGGTGTAACAAAATTGAATTTTGTATGCTTGTTTGGATATTGGTCATGTTTATTGATATGTGTATTTTTTGCTCAACTTATATTTCCCGGAAGGCACAAGCAAGCAAGGATTGTAAGTGACAACGAGTCCTCAGAAGATAAAGAGCTCATGGCTTCTACTCCACCGCGAAAGAAAGGAAGGTGAAGCTCTTCATGTAAAACCACCTTTTATACGCGCACTAGCAATTTTGAACTAAAAAAAAATTGGTGACTGTGGGGATGGTATGCTCAATTAGCCCATTGATTTTATTTGTAATTTTTATTCCTGATAAATTTGCGCAACATGGATGTTACTGAAGTACTAAGCGGAAGAGAATCAAAAGCATTGTGAAGGCTATAGGTGATCCAAGAACACCAAAATTGTAAGTTTATCAACTAATTTTCTAGCTTTGTTTATGCTCAAGTATATACGCATATTAATGTGCTGCAATTTGGCGTTACTGAAGAAGTAAGAAGAAGAGGATCAAAAGCAATGATTTATCTATCGATGAGAAAGTCAAGGCTACTAATAATTCAAGAGCAAAAAAGATGTAAGTTTATGTATTTATTTTTGTTATGCCTTGCATGGCCTATCATGTCTAGATATGTATGCAAATTAATGATGCTGCATATGAACAGTCAAAGAATGGACTTAAGTGTTCCTTTATCAATGGATGACAAGTCCTCTTCCATGAAGCGAGCAGAAGAGGTCCAAGCAAATCTGTCAGCAGAATCTCCTAGCTTTCTCAAAACAATGTTGAAATCACATATTACTGGGGGATTTTGGTTGGTAAGCCAGCAAAATTTGTAATACATATCAAAAGCTCTCAGATTTGTGGCATGATCTGGAGTTAGGTATTTATGTCTATGCATTCTGATGTTACTTGGCTTTGTGATGGATAGGGTCTGCCGAGGAAATTCTGTGATGAGCATCTGCCAATTCGTGACTGTACCGTAGTGTTGGTGGATGAAGCTGGAAAGGGATTTGACACCGTTTATCTAGCAGGGAAAGGAGGTCTTAGTGGCGGATGGAGGGGATTTTCCATCTATCATGAATTGCTTGAGGGCGATGTGTTGGTCTTTCATCTAATTGAACGTACAAAATTTAAGGCAAGCTTCTCAGACTAGTACTCAGTTACTCACTACATAGTACAGAAATATTTGAGTCCTGACGGAAAAATGCAGGTTTACCTCCTACATATGCATGTCACTCTCACTAATTTTTTATCCGAATTTCCTAAATTTACGCTAAGACAGCAGAAATCCCAAAGTTTGTGAGAATGATGTGCATATCTAGGAGATTAACTGGGAATCCCCTGAGTCTTCGCTGATAATTATAGTTCATGCTCGAATATTCTGTTTCTTGTTTCTAACATAGTTATGACATGAAAGCACATGGGCAACTATATAAATGAACTAAACACAAACAAGAGAGTGGTTTGATGGTAATTAGAATCCTGAAGTCCATGCCCTTCGTAGTTTTGTTGTACTACTAAGTACGGATTCTGGGTTTTCTTTAGGCTTAGTTATGCCAGTCATGCTATGCCCAACAGACTGTTAATTTTCTGGTTACACATAAGTAGTTACACATCTCAGGAATTTGCAAATTGCAATATCACACTTATATCGGGGAAACTGGGTAAGCATCCCCTTGAGTCTTTTGCCAACCAAGTAATCTCTGAAAATTCTCTACAATTTGTGTAATCCTAAAAAATTCTATGATAACCAAACAATCACTAAGCCTTTTCTATGTTCCTTGTCTACTATGCATACATTGCAAAGCCAGGTTCCTTCCCATTTCCATATGCAAAATTTTGCTACGTTACATATCATCACATGCATTGCAATGCTTCTACAGATTTATATAATAAGAGAACAGAGTTTTGGTGAAGTCGATGGTGCTTTAGGGCTCCTAACCTTGGATTCGAGGGTAGGAGAGCAGAAATCAGGTAAATAGCTTGCTCTTGTGATCGCTTCTGTATCAAAATTATAAAATATATAGTGTCTAATTCTTCACAACCATTTAAATGCAGAAGGCCATACTGAAATGGTACAAACTGAAGACAACTACACTGCAGTGGACCACCTGTCCCTAAGCAGCAGTGATGTTGATTTGGGCTCCGAAGTGCTTGATGGGATCCGCTTATCAGATTCTTCCATCAAGTTTGAAGGAGTGAGCGACCTCAAGAACTTTAACATCATTGTCGATGGCCTCATATTAGACTCCAAATTCAATGACAGTACACGGAAGAAGTACTATGAGCTCTGCTGCAACCAAAGATCTTTTCTGCATGAGCGCTTTCTGAAGGGACTGAACTGCCATTTAGTGGTTGGGATTATTTCAGAGACTGTTAACATTGCAGATGCCATCAGATCCTATGAGGAAGCTCCTACATCTCATGAAGATCTTCAGAGTTGGGAGAAAACATTGAGGGGGTTCGAGTTGCTAGGCATGAAAGTAGAGTTCTTGCTTGCTTCGGTTAACAAACTTCTTGGCCATTCTGTGGAATCTGAAGTAGTTAATGTACCAAACATGTTGAAAGAAAGTATAATTAAGCGGGCTTTAGCTGGGGAGAGGATGAAAGCGCTTGAGAATAAACTCAGACAGCTTAAAGAGTCCTTGGAGAAGATCGATTTTGAGATGGACATGGAGATAGCAATGGCAAGTTCATGGAAAAAGGAATCCAAGGTTGAGGAAATTCCTGCTGCTGTGTGGTGATTAACACTAGGAGAATCAGTTGATTTAGCAGTTTTTTGTCCCGAAAGATGAGCAGTTTCTGCTGTTTTTGTATAGTTGAAATACCTTGATCATATCTGTATAGCATACCAACCTATGGTGAAATGTTGGTAAGATAATTTTTTGACAGTAGTCAGTAGATCCTCTTTTGTGAGCATGATCATTTAGAGCACTTTTAAAAGTACAAAAGTGCAATAGGAAAGATTACAAGTGTAGGTCTGTAGGATACTTTTTCCTCCATCCATAGGCTTGCTAACCAGCTTAATTAGTGTCTTTTTTATCAAATCTTGTTTATATTATTGTCCTTTATTAGTTTTTAACGGTGTTAATTCATGACTAAATATGAAGCATATCATTAGCTCGTACCTTTAGAGGATGAAAATCGTTTTCACTGCAGTGTTTTCAATCAAGCTCCTGTAAAGGAGAATCACTCCTCTTCCTCCATCTTTCTCATTTGATTGGATTTTCAATTTTGTGTTCAATTATGATCCAATTTTTTTTATCCAAGTTGAGTTGTGAAAGGATCAAAATTTATTTTGCATGCTTAGATTAGAAGGTACAAGTTAACAATATGCTCCATATTATTTATTGTTCTCTATTATGATCCAATGACATACGTCACATATCTAAACTATATTATTTGAGGTTCTAATAATATAATTCCAAATATAGCAAGACGAAAACTACATTCAACAAAATTATGTGAGGGTTAAACTGGGATAATGTATAAACTGTAAACAGGGGATATGTTCCTCACGCGCACTCGTCAGAGGTTAAATCAGGATTCTTAAGTACATCACATAATATTCCACAAATAATTTCAAACAAAAAAAATCCCGTATCAATTTTTTACTCAAAGCTCAGAAATTGAAATATCAGCCCTAACAAAGGCGGCATACCATACCAATTTCCGTCATCACCTTGTCTTCTTCATCTATCTATAATTCTATATATATATGTATAATCGTCAAATTTAGTTTTCAAATTTACGGAAAAAAAAAATCCAGAAAATTACTGGAGCTAACAAAACAAACAAATCCCTTCATTTCGATTAACCAATGTAATCTTTGTTCAATTTTCTCTCTCATCTTTACCTTTTTCTCCTAGTATTTCACTGTAATAATTCCTATTTTACTTATAGTTTGTGGGTTTTAATTTTTTTATTTTCAAATTATCTAGGAGGCATTCAGTGAATCGTCCACCAACACCAGATGCAGGAGATGAACAAGAAAAAGAACTTACCCTTTCAGAAAAAATCAACATTAAGGTCTATTTCTTCAACCCCACTAATCTGTTTCTTGTTTTTGATAAGATAAAAAATATCTTACTTTTTGCTTATTATTTGTTGGCAGATCGTTAAATTTGGGAGGTTTTTTTAATTTATTATTGTTTGAGCACCCCAAAATTGTGAATTTTGATTTTGTTGAATATAATTTTTAATTTTGTTGTTTATTGAAATGGATTTTTGGTTAATTGACTTTACAGTTGATTGAGAGTGGAGAAAAGGAGAGATTGATGGATTTGTTGAGGGAAAGGCTCATTGAGTGTGGATGGAAGGATGAAATGAAAGCGATTTGCAGGTTTGAACTTCCCCCATCCCTCTATAGTATAGATGTTCATATCCTCTAATCCGGTTATCGGGATTAATAGTTGCGTTGATAGTGTAATTTGAACCCGCAACATGACAACTAAATTTTGGACGGAGGGAATACTTTATTTCATGTCAATATTGTAGTTTTTTTTTTGTAAGGAAAAGAGGAAATTATGTGTAATTTCCAAAATTGAAGTTGAGAAACAGAAACTATATTTATCTTATTTTGATGAAGGTTGTTCTTTATAGTACAGTTTGACTATGAAGCTTTTGATTCAAATGCCTTGTAATCTTGCAATTTTCCATGCTTGAGTTTCTAAGATTTGCTTCCATTTTCAGGGCATTTATAAAGAAGAAAGGGAGGAATAATGTGACTGTGGATGATCTAGTACATTTAATCACTCCAAAAGGAAGAGGTATTGATGATTATCTCACTCATATATCTTATTTCAGGTGTTGCTTCTCTTTTTGTGTATGTGTTTTCTTATGTCAAAGCTAACTCTTGATATGTAATACGAAGTACTACTAAATAAACTCCGTACTAGTGATTGGAAGAATTTTAGTTGACAGCATGTTGTAGAAAGGTTTGAATCGGTAAATGATTAGGATGGCTGTCTTGGTGGGCTGTGAGGCATGTGTTAATTGGTTTTTAGCTACTGGTAATATGTGGAGCCAGGGGTAGAGCCGTAGAGGATTACTAGCTTTGGCATTTTTGCAACAGTCCTTTCTTGCATTTATTCTCTAAATAGATGAACATTACCCCAATGCCTCCTAAGAGACTTGCAAATCGAATGGGGTAGATGAGGGTCAGACGGGGTAGGGACGGATATGTGCAGCAGCACTTTGCTAAGATAGAGGTTGTTATCAATTGACAAATAATCTAATTACAAGTAAGATGTCTTCAAATCAGAACAAGTAAGAAGCTTTTGGCAATGTGATGAATTGCATCATCTTCACAATAATCTCTCGACTCTTTTTATTAGGAGAGGGGGAAAGGGGGGGGGAGTTGTTGGGAAAATTGGTTGTTGCTAAGTAATCTACAGAGTAACTATAACGGAAATAAGACAAAAAGGTGATTCCCTTTATCAAGCCCTGCTACTTAGAAATCATTATTATACTTCATTGCAAGTACTTTGTAGATCAAATGGGGAGAAGATCAGACAATGAAGAAGTGCCTCCAAGGCTGTCAGGGGGGAACAACGATTTATTTATATGTTTTTTGTAAGGGAGAAATCAAAATGAGCATGTGCTATGAAGTTTATGGAACAGAAGTATAACTTAAGTAACAGTCCTGTTTTGTCACTAACCTAAGCTAGAATCAGCCAAAATGGTATTTAGCTGTGTATATTATGTAATACTATGATGTTCACCACCTTACCTTTATTTTTGGTAATTAATAGTAAGTCATGTGCATCATATTGATGAATGATTAGCAATTGGAGCTTAAATATTTAAACTGTTTTTTGGTCTTTGGGTTGCAGAACCTGTAATCATGCTGCGTTGTGATTTAATATTTCTGACAATCTGACATTTCGTGTGTTTTACATCTGAGAAGTGATTGGAAATTTTAAAACAGATGGATTCTCCACCTGTAGCGATTTTATTTGCTATAGTTCAACACCTGCATTGTGTTTGTATTCAGTACTCGTAGACTGGTAGTGGCTAACATTTTTACTTAGTGTGATGTGATCATGTCATGCAGCATCTATTCCTGATCCCGTGAAAGCTGAGCTGTTGCAGCGAATTTGGGCTTTTCTAAATGCAGCTTCACTTTGATGCGAGGGATTGTTACCATCAGGGGAAAGAAGAGGTTCAGAATATGTTGCTTGACCAAGTCTTAGTGTAGCAAAAGCTACGGAGTTTGGCGGGAGAGTCACTCCTGTGTGATATAATGCAACCTACCTTTAGTAATGCATTGCTACCTTTCTGACTGAACCTACCTCATGTGGGCAAGGACATGCGCGGCATTTGTATCAGGGGTTAGATTTTGCAAGGGACATTCTATATGCTTGTAATTGTAGAACTTACGTAGTTCCATCTTGTGAATTAAAGAATTTGTGCTCCTTTTGCTCTCTGCCTACCAAGTTTTGCAAAGGACAATCTACAATATTCTACATGCTTGGTGTAATGAAAAAGGGCGTTCGTAAGTCATACCAACTGCAATGATGACCTCCATTTTTTGTCTCTGTAAAATTTGAGAACCATACCTGATGCTTGTGTTGACATAAAAGTACATAGGAATTGAAAAATCATTTGTGAAAAAAAAACGCGGATTTGTTTGTGTTGGCTAAAATTTAACTTACCGTGTAAAAATTAGAGGAAATTAGTTAAGTTTTTCTATGTAGGGAAACTATCCGTGTAAAAATCGAAATTTCTAATGTTCAACCATATTTGCATTATTTGGGAGGTGAAATCAGGGAGGAACCACTAATTCACATGGGTATTAATCATTTCAAGGGAAGCTACTTCTTTGTCAACATTCTAGCTTGATAGTGTTTGGATGGCACTTAGCAACTACTTCGAAGTATTTCCTGAGAATTATGAACTGCCAAAGGAAAAATAATTGAGCCATTTCTTGTGTCTCTTCTTGAGGAAGTTCCACTCCCCCATTATGTCAATCAAACAATTTCTTAAGAACCCGCACTTCCAGTTTGCTTACAACCAATTACTCGCCTAGTTTCTATACAGGGAATAACGAAGTTGTCATGACATTTACCTAATCAATCATCAAACATGTCGTGATCCTTCAATTGGATTAGAAAGTTACCAATCCAAACCATTGCAATTTCCAAAAGTTTTGTCAACCAAGAAATCTCAAAAAATTACTTATTTTAGAGAGATCTAATTTTAGAAGTCTCAAATTTTGTTTGTTACAAAAAGATCCTACTTTTACCTAAATGAGAACTAGACAATAGCTAATTAGCTACTAAAATATTTGCTTATTTTACAAAGATTTTTTTATTAGTAAAAGCTAGACAATTACAAGTTTAATTTGTTCTTATTATTGATAATATAACATGATATTATAAACATAACCTTCCTATCAACCCGAACAAACATAGTACTTCCCAATTTGCTTGGATATGTTGATCCAAAGGAAGAAATGGATAAAGACATCATGCAATATTCCATTTAACACACTGAATAGTAGATTAAGTATTTATAGTCACAAAATACAGATACATGGATTTTCTCGTCTCATTTTTCATTTTCATTGAAATTCTGCCATCAGATCATACAAGCTAGAATCACTCCTCTGCAATAACATACAATATATTATCACGAACTCTTAAAATACATTTATTTTACTCAAACACCTTCCCTACTTTTTGATAAATAAACCCAAGCCAGAACACATCTTCCAAGCTTGCGCTTTGCGGAAAATTTGGCTCACCATATTACAGATACAACGTGAAATCTACAATATGCTGGCGCAATCTACAGACAACAGTTTATGCAGAAAGCAGATTACATTCCGGCTTGTTCACAAAGGTCGAGCAGCTCCAGGGTCTGCAAAACAATGACAATCAGATATAAGGGTTAAAATAACGGGTCTTCTAACCAACCAACCACCAACGATTTACATGCTGTTATTTCAGTGTTCAGACAACCACCACCAGGGCCACAGACATAACTTCTAAACAACTTAACAATAAAGCACCCATTTCACTTGATACTGTCAAACTACCTTAATGAATTAACACTGACACATGCCTTTTACTTGGGGGGATTAAGAATCAAGAACTTTCTGACAAGGTTGATGTGCTAAGGTGTCAAGCCTTTAAAATACTTTGATTTATCACCTATCCGTAGATTTTGTACGAAAAAAGGTGATAAAGTGAATTTATTTTGACTTGCAGAATGGCAAGAATAAGTAACCACACAGAGGATAAGAAATTAAGAGCCAATAATTTTAGGATAATGTCCCAGTGAAATGAGTAATGTTACCTCTGAGACTGAAAGTTCGAGGCGGAACTTGGGACCATCATAATGGTGCAGGACAGGCCTAAAGGAATCTTCCTCCAGGGCTGTGCAAAGCTTTCTAATACGAATCCTCACCTGAAATTTGGAGGGAACAAGTAACCATAATGCAAATGTTAGGAAACATTATGCACTTCAAAAAAAAATTTGAAAGAGAAATCTAAGCATTATGATCTTCATTTTACCTGCGCAGGAAACCTTGATTCACCTTTGCATTTCTTATCCTCCCATGCAGTTGGATCTATATTTGAGCCCCCGAAAGTAGATGCCTGTCAATTCATTGCACAATTAAGGAACTATGGTTTTTGCACAAATTACCATAACAAACTCAAAGGTAGTCTGTTAAGAATTTTAATCAACTGTTATCAGGGGGAAAGAACTCGAATTCTAATATCTAGTGGCTCATATAGGTCAAGGACAATAAAGGAAGTAGAGTAAGGTTTAATATAAACCTCAAATATGCCATGAAGCTGGTGAGTTGTATAGTTGTACAGAAATAGAGGTAAACCGGGTGTTATTGCGCGAACAGAGTCCCTGTATCTTGGGGGTAAACCTGAATGAAGGAACTACAATCAGCAATCATTCATCACTGTAAATTGAAATCAACTGGTCATGATGAAATTTGAATGCAGGTAGAGCATACTATTTCCAGCCATATCTACTTCTAGTTGACTGAAATTCCAGGATTAAATTGAAATCCTAAATTCATAAGCATGAGCTAAAAAGAAATCATACCAAATAGCTGTCGCTTGAGATTCTCTTGCATGGTATCATTGTTACACACAAAGATGTATCCACCAAGCACCTCGTTCCTAGGAAGTGTCTCTGCAGCAGGCAAGGTCTTGAACCTTTTATCATTTGCGCTGTCATTGTTGTTGTTGTTATTGTTATTGTTGTTGGGCTCCTTGTTGCTGTTATTGTTGATGATAGACTTGTTAATGGGCATGTTTTCAACAATGTTAGTGTTGCTCTTCTGATAAACAGCATTCAGATTGTAAACATTGTTCCTAAAGGAGCTTTTGCTCAAATTTTCAGGCCCCTTAGAGTCCAGGCTCAACATGTTAAAGTTGAGGCTTTCAAATTTGTTATCTTCTTGGAACCCAAATCCCCTTGGCCTCACATCAGCCGCTCCCTTGGAAAAATCAATATTATTCATACGCTCCCCCTTGGATCTAGTCTTCTCAGCTAACTTTGAAGCTGCCATCAGCCATTTGTGATCTTCTGACACTCTTGATTGTCCACGAAGCTCATCACCTAGTTGCCAAAAGCTGTTCAAACCGTCCATCCTGCAATCCTGTTAACACATTATACAGCTTAGTGTTATGATTGTTTGATATGCAACTCCTCAGCGAATGAGATGGTGATGAAGAGATCTATCAAGTGAAATACATGCCCCATCATTTAGAAATCTAGTAAAAGAAAAACCTAAATCTCGGAAGCTTAACAACTTACAGTGAATCCAAAAGCCAACAAAGAATTTAGGAGATGACTGAGGAAGTGAAATTCGTGTACAGTTAAAGCAGTAAAACACTTTCCAAGAACATGATTCAAATGTTCAAATAGCAAGTGAGTACCTCCTAAAAGAAGAAGCATTACAAAGATTGATACCAAATGCTTACAAAAAGATAGTTGAGTAATTCTACTATTATGTTTACTTTTATGTCAAAATAAACGACTGACCAAATTGAAGTTGATTGATCACAATCTTCAAGTCAAACATTTATGATCAGAAAGAATATACAAATCAGCCCTATTATAGGTTAATCTATATAATGCTGTTATCTTCGTTAATCTAATTTACAGACTCAGAATCTCCCTCGCAAAGCATATGTTGAAAAATAAACAGGAAAAAAATCTTAGTGTATAACTTTTGTATCTAGTAATGCTATGACAAAAGCTTGGCTAGACCTACTTCATACTTTAATGGGTGCTATTATTTTAAGGACTTGAATCCAAACAACAATACATAAAGAAAAAAGTACTGTAACAATCAATATTTTCTACAATATTCTCCTACTTGTATATATTATCTCCTATATATTGATTATACTCCCTTTCTCCATCCGAAAGTAATAATTCGAACGGATAGTGTAATTTGAACTAGCGATGTGACAATTAAATCCAAACGAAACAATACTGGATGTATATTTAATTAATTACTCTTCAATCTTTCATTCATAATCACGCAACAAAAACACCCCAACCCAGCATTGCCCCATTTACAATAAAGTAGAACCCAGAAATTATTTCATACAAATTTCAAACAAAAAAAAAATCTCATTGACCAACTAATTCAAACACACCGACAATCATATAAAATCAACATCCCACCAAAAATTAAACAAACCCCAGAACAAATTAAACAATCATAGCATAAGAAAACATAAATTAAACCCTATTATACTAATTAACAAAAAGTACAATCATAACAGAATATAAGCTAAAATAAGCATCAAACAGAAGAAGTTAAAATTCAAAAAAAAAGAAGAGTGAAAATGAAAGAATGATTAAATAGATCGGAAGAAAATAGAACATACCCAGAAAATCAAAGGAGCCCTGGATAATTGGGATCCCCAAAATTGAGAGGGAAAGAGGGGAAAAAAGGATGAATAGGAAGAGGAGAGAGAAGAGAAGAGAGTACCTGTGAAGCTTTATCCCTCTTTCTCCGCAGCTGAAATCGGAAGACGTGACAGAGTGTTACTAATCGAAATTTTATTACCTCAACCCCACTACTTTTACTTTTTTTTTTTAAAAAAAATTTTTGTACTTTATTAAATTTGGGGTAATTGGTTAATTTTATTAGGCGGTATTCAAAATATGAGATTAGGTCAAACCTTATCCACATTATTGTCCTTTGAACCTCTCTCGACATCTAAATCGATGTTATGGAGTACATGTAAACTCATAAATCATAATCATGTGAGTCGAACTTGTCCGCATTATTGTCCTTTGAGCATCTCTCAACATTTAAAAAGATGTTATAATTACGTGATATGACCTGTTTTTAGATAAGATAATTTGATCTTAATTTAACATAATAGATGTACTACGTAGATCTAATCATATAATAGTTGTATGTATGTGTTTAGTCTAAATTCTATGATAGGTCTAATTTTCTGATGTGATTTAATTGGTTTTTATGTATTTTGAAATAGGATTAAACTATAGTCTTACCGCCTAAGTAAGATGGTGCTCACCCAAGCCTTGAATAA